TCCATCAAGATTATAATTAAATTTATTTAAAATCAACTCCAAAAAAATTAATCGGAATCCTGAATTTTAAATTCTATAGGATTTCAAATGCATGAATTTGAAATTATCCTCCCTTATTGTGCAAAAGGAAAAGACCTTTTCCATCCAAAAAGAAATGGTATCACGCACTCTACCCCATTCCCTTCCCTTTCTCAAATGCAATCAAGGAAAAATGGATAAAGAATGAACTGAAGGTACGTAGTGGCATGCAATAAGTGAAATCCAGGTAGCCATCCACCAGATAAAAAGATCCGACCAACATTATTTCCAGATTAGGGAAAAGCATTGTTAGATCAAGCAGAATACTTTTGTTTTGCAGCTAATTCAACTACTAAAGCTCGAGAAGAGATATTCCTTCGTCCATCAAGGCAAACTGCGTAAAATAAGATTCCAATGGCATGAGATGTGGATTCAGACGTCGTAATCCACCCATTTGCATATATTCCAAGACTCCTTTGCATCCCCATTTGTATGAATTTTCACAGACAAGGGAACAAATTAACTTTTGTTTTGCTTTCCTTGTCATGTTTTCGTACGGGGATGGATGTGGAATGGGAAGCAAAAGCTCCTTAATTTCCTCCAAACGGTTGAATATGTGTGGTATAAATATATTACTATAATCTTCTAACATGATATAGTTATTAAACTTTCTTTTTCTGAAAATCAAAGAGAATATTATAACCCAAAATACGAAAAACAGAACCCAGCAAGAAAAGCCAAACACTTCCTGAATCAACAAAACAATAAAAAAAATACGAAAAGCAAGACCAGAAAAAGCAAGAGAGCTCAGAAAAAATCAAATCCGCATCAAAAAAGCATGTAGGAGATCAATAAATCAAAGAATCTCAACATTATTCGAGTCACCCACTCCAATAGATTTTGAAAACAGAATTTTAACATGACCTCCATCATCACAAAAAAACGCCTTCAATACCAGATCCTCCAAGACATCCCATCGCAACTCCATCAACATTAAAATATAAAATATAAACACGTAGGCTACATTAATTTAGTGCTAAATCTAACTGTTTCTTTATGAAAATATTAACTATGAAAAAATATAACAATTATAATTCATAAGGTATATGAAGTAAAGCTGTCCATGGGTCGAGCTACACGTCTAGATTTGAGGTTCAGAATCGAATAAGATTTCTTAGGTCCAAATTTAAGAATAAAACAATTTTAATAAATAGAATAACTTTATTTAATTTTAATTACACAATATGTTTAAAAATATTAATATAATTTTTAAAAAATACTTTAATAATAAAAATAATTTAATGGACAAATCCACTTTCAGTTGTCAAGGTATCATTTGAACCTAATCCAACTTAAACCCATAGACACCTCTAATATTATTGTACAATTTGATCTCTTCTTCAATGTGTGTGTTTTTTCTTGGATGAAATCATAAGTAGTAAAGACAATCATAATCTAGTACTGCATCTCATGTAAAAAATAATTAAACAGACAAACCAACTAACAAAATAACATATAATTTGATAAATTTTAGCACAAAATTGCACCAAACCCACACATGGTGGGACTTAAACCTGAGACCTCAATGGCAGGGGCGAAAGGTAAGCCAACGACACCCACCCGCCCAAACAAATTTTTGCTAATATTTATTTTTTATATATATTTTATTAATGCCTCTTCAAAGTTTTTGAAAATTTTTATTTATTACATATTTTTAATGGTCTACTTAAAATAATTTTTTTATTTAATAACAAATAAAAAATAATAAAACAACTTCACAAACTTACTTAACTTTACTCTAATTTTAAGTTTCTTCACGTTACTTTCTCTTTTACTTTTTCTTTTTCCCTTCCCTTTTGTGTCTTTGTATTTTTATTTCTCTTTTCTAGTAACTCACCATTAAAATACACCTAATTTTTCAAAAGAGATTTATGAACTTGTAAGCTTAAACAAGAAAAAACAGAAACCATCCATCACCATTGTGTAAAATTAAGAGAAGGTAAAGTTTTCTTTTACTTTCTTCTTTCTATTTATATCATTTAATTATTGTGTGAAATCATGTATTTCATATTTAATTATTTATATTTAATATATTATAGTTTTATATTTAATATTTTTAGTTTACATATAAATAAATAAAAATATTAGATATTGACTGCATTGCTTTTTTTAAAAGTTTGATTAAATATGTGTAAATTAAAAACAATTGATAATTTTTTTTTTTAAAAAAAGGAGATAGATCATTCAAATGATTATCCTATACTTTAGCCACTAGGTCTTAATACTTCAATTTATGAACAAAGGTAGTGTGAATCAAAACGTTTAAGGTTCAATCTTGAAAAAATTGATGCATTTCATATAGAATCTGATCTTGGATTATGACTAATGATATGAGAATTTTTCTATCAATCAAAGGGATGAAATTCATTGTGCTTATATCCAACGTGGGCCATATCATCCCATTCTTAAGACATATCCTTTATCAGATGATGATCATCCTCGTCGTTTTCGAGCTTCTTTGTTTGAATTATATCTTTCTTGGTTGGAGTATTATTGTGACAAAGATACTGCATTTTGATTGCCATACTACCTTTTTGGTAAGAACACCTCAAATTGTTCAAGTTCAAATGCATTTATTGAAAAGGTTTCAAAAGTTGGAAGAAAGTAAATAGTGGAGAAAATTTCCACTTTTGAATTATGTTGGGAAAAATTCAAATTCCTTGCATAATGTTGCTATAAAATCTTGTGAGGGTTTACTTAAAAAATCCTAACATATTGATAAGCTTATCAAAAGACAAGCATAAAAAGAGATCTTGAATAATCGAATAAGGCTCAAAGCTTTTATAGATTGTGTTAGATGGTTAACTTTTCAAGCTTGCTCATTTAGAAGTCCTGATGAAAGTCAATCCTTAAAAAATAGAAAAAATTTCATTGAAATGCTGAAATTATTAGGATCTTACAATGACAAAGAGGTGATGCTTCTATTGCTAGTAAAATATTAGCATCATTTGAATTTATTTTCATATTACACTTGATGTATGAGATCATGGAAATCACTAATGTTCTTTGTCAAGTATTACAATTATACTCTTAAGATATTTTAAATACAATTAATCTTATTTTTACTACAAAATCACTCCTTCAGAAGTTGAAAGATGATGGGTGGATTAATTTGCTTTAGTATGTAAAAAAATTTTGTTAAAAACATGAGATAAAAATTCTTGATATGGGTGCACGATATATCTTGGGCAAAGGTCGATCTTGTCAACCAGATATAACTGTGGAGTATTATTATCAAGCTAATATATTTTTAATAACAATAGAAATGAATTTGAGATTCAATGAGCAAGGTGTGGAACTTTTAACTTTAAACACTACTTTGGATCCTAATAACAATTACAAATCATTCAATATTGATAATATCTGTAACTTAGCAGAGTGGTTTTATTCTCAAGATTTTACAGAACAAGAAAGACTTATTTTGATATTACAATTGAGGCATTATAAGTTTGATATATCTCATTATCAAAGTTTTGAAGATATTAAAACACTTTCAGAATTGTGCTAGAGATTAGCAGAAATAAAAAACTAAAAAAATTACCACTTGATTGATAGATTAATTCACTTTATTTTGACTTTTTTTTATTTCTGTAACAACTATAAAGAGAGCCCTTTTAGTAATAAAAATTTTTAAAAAATAAGATTTCAGAATAAAATAGACGGTGAGTTTCTTGTAAATAATTTAAGTATTTATATTAAGAAAGTTATTATTAATCTTTTCAATACAGAATCAATAATTGATAAATTTAAATATAAAAAATCATCAAGTACAACTTTCTTAAATAACTATTATAAATTTTTTTTATTTTTTATTTACATGTTATATGAAATTATTATTTATTATAATTTTTTTTATTATTAATTAAATTTAATATTTTTTAATATTTTTATTATTATCTTCAATAAAAATTAATTAGCTTTGTTCCTGCTCAATAATCTGCCTGACATTGCGACAAGATCTATTGACAAATGTGTGGTTGTTCTTACACTTTCATTTCGACTTCCCATCGTATTGCTGGAGGTTGTCTGTGGGCCACATCTTAAGAATCTAGGTTTGGCCCCTCCTTTAGAATAAAAAATTACACAACAGTGGAAAGACAAAGGTACGGCCCTGGTTGTACTATTTATTTATTTAACTTCTCTGGTTTCGTGCACTAGTGGATTGGTCAATATGGCATGGTTTTGCTTTTAGGCTTATCTCGATACGTTATTACTAACCCTTTTGAACTGCCATCACAAAAATCCAATCAGGGCATCAGGCATTATCCTCATAGAACACAGAATTTGATCGGGCGTGTAGCCCAATACTGACGGAGCTACTGTTTCTATGTTTGCTACTTTTTGAATCAAAAGGACAACTGCTTTTGGCACCGTCTGGAAAATTGATCCAAGTTGATTCTTGTTTACATTTGAGGGCTCACTTTTTCATGCATGGTCACCACGTGGTTGCACTTTTCTCAATGGACCCAAACTCAGATTACATTTTTCCAATAAAGCCACAATGGCCGCTTAAAGAAACTCTCTTAATTTTTTTTTTATTCATTAAAAGGGAAAGGCTATTAAGTCCATCAAAATTTTATATTTTTATTTTAAATTATATATTTTTGTAATTAATTAAAATATTAATTAACATTTAATATTTATATTACGTGAATACATTAATATAAAAAATAAAAAATATTATATAATTATATTAATATATTATATCATTTATTATAACATATTAAACATATTATTTTAACCTCCCTTATTATACGCCAATATACCACTTCAGCTCAAATAATATTTTAATTAAATTAATTATCAATTGAATAGAATAAAAAGAAACTACTTATTAAAAAATTTTTAAATAAACAACTTAAAAAATTTTTAAAATATTATGCTAAAATGAAAGAATTAAAGAAAGAACAGCGCAGAGGAGCGAAGGGAGTAAGCCAATTTTTATGTCCTTGTATTATTACCATCCAAATCCAGAAAATATAAAGGAGGAGCGATTAGTCCTAAGATAGCAAAGTGCAAACGCATTGCCCAGATATCACTAGGAATTAAGAGAATGAGAGAAGCCAGCCAGTAAGGAATACTAGCAGCATTTATCAATGTTTAACATAAATATACCAATGAGGTAAATCCACAAGTCTCTCTCTAGTCTCTTTCAAGGTTTCCAGAGGATGGTTGTCTCAGCAATCATGGAAGTGACAACATATGGATCCATGTTTGAAGCGGGCCTCCTGTCCTCAAAGTAACCTTTGCCACACTTCTCTGTGTCTCTGCCAACTCTAACGGAGGCTCCACGGTTTGCTACTCCCTGTCCATTCAAACACATAAATTTTGATCCCCTTTAGGTGCTGGATTTTTCCACCTATCAATCTTCTGAGATTTAAAGGATATGAGTTAACATGAAAAGCATATAGTGGGAAGAAATTAATACCCATGAGAAGGTGTTAATGTCAGCTGTTTCATGTCTACCGGTCAAACGACGCTCATTGCCTTCCCCATATGCAGCAATGTGCTCCTTGTGCCTCAGTTTGAGATTTTCTATGGCTTTCTTGATGATTTCATACCCACCATCATTTCTCATGGACTTGGTGCTGAAATTACCACAACAAGACAAAGCAAGGTCACAGGGTTGTAAAGACGATGGCAAACAACATAGAGTAGGACAGCTAGAAAAACCATTTTCCTGTTACCATTATCTATTTTCCAAGGACTGGAGATAGGATGTGGGGTAGGAGTACACAATGAATTTTGATAGTTTTTTATATTAACTTTTGAGAATCTGGGTGCCATATCATATGAATAATGGAGTGTTCAAAAAAGTGAAGGGCAGATTCTAAACCAGATGTCTTAAATCACGTATATTACCTATAGTTTGTGTGTGCGCCAGCCCCATTCCAGTCACCCTGGTCAGAAAACAACAGAGATGATAGCGTTTTGCATTAAGACAAAAGAAATGAATCAAATCAGTCAAAAACCTCAAATGTTGAAACCCAACCTGGATGGGTTTAGGGTCAAAGGAGAGAACCACTCCAGCAATCTCAGTAATCCTCTGTCATTGACGAAAAAGAAGTTCCAAACTATTCAGTTTCACCAAGAAATTAAGAGTTGAACCTTATTGCAGTCTTTGTTCTAGTATACCAGTATAAGTTCATATTACCTCCAGAAGGTAACGAGCCACCCAAAGCTCATCACCTGCAGAGATGCCAACAGCAGGGCCAACTTGAAATTCCCACTATTGAAGAGATTGACACCATCAGGAAAATAAATCAATTATTGTATCAGTATGCATGCAGGTAAGGTGCAGAAAAAATGTTACTATAGTAAAAGACACTGATAAAAAAGCCCGGACAAATATATGTACCTGGCCAGGCATCACCTCTCCATTGATGCCACTAATGTTGATGCCAGCATAAAGACAGGCTTTGTAATGGGAGTCGACAATGTCACGGCCAAAGGCCTTGTCAGCGCCAACACCACAGTAGTAGGGCCCCTATTAACCCAATCAACGTTGCCATTTATTTACACAGTTTGGCATTAATGAACATAAGACTACTTAGCAAAGAGCACAAAATTTTACTACAACAAAAAGGAATTAAGAATGGTTTACGGTCTGATGATATAATAAATTTCTATGCTTATTGTCAGCAAGTAGGAAACCAACAGAGAAAGAGCAATTTTTTTTTTGTTTGATAAAGCTTAAAAAAAAGGCAAAAAAAACACAATTGAAGAGGAAAATTAAATTTTTGGGGTACCTGGGGTCCAGGATAACCACCAGTAGGCCACCCAATTGGCCATTTGACTTCTTTTTGCAGCAAAGTATACTCCTGCTCTATTCCATACCTATTGTTTTGATGCATGAAAGAATATAATAAAATATAAGAGAATCTGTCTAGACAGAGAAAAAAGAAAAAAAAAAAAGAGAGAATATTCTTGAAAATTCATAGTTATAATTCACCAGGGTTCTTCTGCAACAACTTTAGGGTGGCTAAATATTTTTGCTGCATTATATCTCTTATTTGTCGGAATGGGTTCACCAGCAGGAGTGTAGACATCACACATCACCTAAACAATTAGGGACAAATAGAAGGATTAATAAAAAGAGATTATATAGCAGTAAGCTAATTGGATTTTTTTCATATGATTAATCACTCAAAATTTTATTCATATTTCATAGTACATGGAATGAAAGGGGCATACCAGAATGTTGTTGCCCCTCCTGAATGGATCCTTAAATATTGCTTGTGGGCTATTTTGAAAAACGAAATGTAAAGAAAAATGCAAATTAGTATACTTCTATCAACTAACTTATGAAATGAAAGGGGAGAGAAATGGAGACAGAGAATGGCAGACAGAGCATACTATAAGATAACTTCACTGTCTTCCCCAGGAGCTTGGCCAGTGCTTGACCCATCGTAGTTCCATTTCGGCAGCTTTTGAGGATCACTTACAGGGCCAGGAAGAGTCTGTATGTCCCCATATAAATCAAAAGCCAAAACAACTTACTAACAAGAAAAGAAAAGGAAAAGGTTTAGAAATAACCATAACAAGAAATCACAGATTACCCTGGCTTTGCTTCTAAGGTCCATTCCAGATCCACCAATCCTGTTCAATGATTGATTACAAAGCCATGGTACAAATCATGAATCAGAATTTGACCAAGAACCCATTAAACCAAAAGGGACGAAATATGATGCTACTCAGTTAAAGGCAGAAAGGATTAATAACGAGAGCAAGATCTGGGGAAAAGGAGAAAAGTTACCATATATACTCAGCAATGACCTTCTCAGTGGTTTCCGAGAGGTTGAGGTTGACAAGATCGGAGAGCAGAGACATGTCTACAAAGACAAACTGAAATGAAATACCGATCAAAGGACACTAAACAGAGGAGAGTTTTCTTCTTTTGCTTTATGCTTATCTATGGATGCGATGAGAGAGACAGAGACGGTGCAGCAAAAGAGAGTTGAGATGTCTTTGCAGTTTGCTCATAGGCGTTGAAAGTTATAGCACTTGGGAAAAGTTATTTTTGAATTAGATAAAATAATAAAATAAACAAATAATCACAGTATGCTGTATCATAGCCACGTGTTGCTTTGGGTGAACCCAAATCAACTAGTATTTATTTCTCTTATTATTATAAATAGGGCTACATTATTGTCTAATTCCATTTTATTGGGTTTTGATTATATCATTTTTTTGTTTGCTTAGTCCTATTGTTTAAACTATTATTATACAAGGAAAAAATTAATTTCAAAAAGCATTTTAAAAAATTGTACTACCTTTTTTTTAAAAATACATGTATAATAAGAATTACAAATGTAATTTTTGGAAATAAAAGAAAGATTATATAGTTTAAGTGTCTTACTTGTAATAAGTAGGTAACAGCAGTAAAAGTTTATGAAGCTTCCAAAAGCAGCCAGACAAAATAGAGAAAGATCATGTAAACTGAATTAATTCAACTCAATTAATTGCATATAAATTCATCTAATTATCACTTTAAAATTTAACACAAATAATAAAATTGATAAAAATGGTAGGTGAATGGGGTTAGGTGTTCACTGGATCGTGGAGCTAGTCCCTATCTGCCAGTAAGTTTTTTTATTTGATGGTTTAACCACCATGAAGGTAAATTTCCTTTTTTGTCCTATTAACCCATTATTTTGGCAAATAAGCAAGAAAAATTCATATGATTTATATATATATATATATATATTCACACACGAAAATACATGAATTAATATTTAATAATTTAAAATTATTAAGTTTATAAAAAATACCTATACACATCAAAATATATTATGTAAGTTTTTAGGGTAATTAATTATTTAAATATTTTTTAATATATATTTTATATTTAATTTGTTTATATTTTAGTAAACAGTTCTGAAATAAATTTAAAATTAAATTATAAAATTTAAAATTGAGAGTGAATATGAAATATTATGAAAAATTTACAAATTAAAGATTCAATTTTGATACTATAGTAATAAAATAATGACAAAAATTTGATATACTTTGAACTATATTTTAATATAAGACAAATATAAATAAAAAAAAGTAAAATTTGAAGATTATTGAATTGCTTGATCTGACAAAAAAGAAAAAAGATAAGAAAAGCTTAAAAATGCAATAAATGAGAAAGATTAAATTAATTAGTAAAGGTTGTTGCTTGCAGTGCAGATCAAATATGTCTGGGTCATTGTCCAGAGACCTCGGAAAGTGGACAGCCTAATTTTCTTTGGATGCATCCATTAAAAACATTGCCAAAGTTGTAGACTAAACTGTAGAGCAGGGGCAAGGTTGCCACATAGTTGAGCTCCCTTGTAGATGGTGATGGCCTGATAGGCTTGGTGGTTGGCATCTTCTGCCAGCTTTTGCTTGCCAACTTGTTTCTCGTAAGATGTGAACAATGCCTGCCATCTGGACCATAGAGAACAAATATTAACCTGTTTTTACGAGTTTGCGGTCATCCAAACCAAACATTCATTTTTTCTGGTGCAAGAATTTATTCATCACTTTTTCTTTCTTTTTGCCCTTTTCTTCTTTTAGTTAGCACAAGTGACAACATAACTCAAGATGGGATGAATCAAATATTGATCAATTTTTGGAAAACTACTTCCAAATATTACAAATTTGGGATAATTTATATTTCAACAACTACAATCAATCAATTAAAGAAAAGATATTTCAACAATTATAATCAATCAATTAAAATAAAATAATGAGTAAAGAGGATATAAATAAAATTTGAAGGACTTACAATGGTTTGGTCTTATATAAGACACATATATCCACTAACTTTACTATATAAGTGTAGATATTTTTTTCTGGCATACTAATTTTGTTAAACATGTTAACTATTTTTGGATCAAAAATAGCTGACCCTGGTGACCTCTACCCTTTAAAATGAAAAGATCTGTGGAAACAATGTGATTGAAGGGCACCTTAGGTATATTGGCTCTGACAATTTGGACCTTGAGAGGATGTCTCGACAAAGGGTTCCATAAAGTTACAATGAAGCTTAAAACATCAAAAGTGTGTTATAAAAAATTAATGTCTAAATAACAACTTTGACAGCAATTTAAGTTGAATTTGACAGATAAAAATGCAAATACAAGAAATCAATTTGCTCAAATCATTGAGGCTTGAAAATAGAAATTTGCACAAACTTGAGAAGCAATGTATTGAGTTATGATAATTAAGTGAACAGATGTTGCATAGGTTTACAAATATATCAAATAACAACATGTCTGTGATAGATAGAGTTGGTCTCATTGGCTTTACTCAATCTTCTTTCCTTGTAGTTGTTGATTCTACTAACTGAGTGTTTCTAGTTTTGTCACTAAGCTTTTATGTGTTTGCTTGGTAAACCTCTTACTTGGACCTGAATTCTTTGTCAACTATAAATCTATTATATAAAAGGAAGCCTCAGGGGAGCTTCCAAGTTTGCTCATGTTTTCAGCCTCTTTTATTGACATGTGGTTGAGTTAGAAGGGATTCCGAGATGTTTTTCGTGGGCACGATTGCATTTTAGGGTTTTGGGGTTTAGGGTTTTTCTCTTCAGCTTCAAAAGAGGGTTTTTCCCCTTAGTTCATGTGAATTGAGGCCAACAGTGCTTCCATGTACGGATGATAAATTGTGTGACCTGAAATGGTGCCATCTTTCCTTCATTAGGCTTGATGTGCTGCTGCCCTCTCTACCTCGATATTATCATTCTTGTTGGGGTTTCTTTGTTTCCTTTAGTTTTCTTTCCTTCTTTTTGAGTCGTTTTATCTTTATCGTTCATGTTTGCTTAGCCCTCGACGTTGGTCCCAATTTGTCTTTGAGTGTAATTGGCGTTCCAGTTTTCGATTTTGGTCTGCTTGCTTCACTTTGTCAATTTTTTCTATTTATTCTTTCTACTATTTAGCTCTATTTTTTTCTACTTATTTATTTTTTTTTACCATTATTTTGCTCCAAATTTTTTATTTTATGATTTTCTGTGTTTACAGGACTTGCTGCTTTGTGTGCAGGGTTGATTAGTCTTTGTTTGGTTCTTCCTTTCGTAGTTCATGGTCAAACAATAATCATTCTAAACGATCCCAACTTATTTTCGCTTCTAGCCACTATATTTTTGTCATTCATTTTTTACAATTTTTTATTATTTTTAATTGTAATTTAAAATCATACTCAATGCAGATTCATGGGAATTCGTTTTCTTCTTTTAGATTAACATTACCTTATAAAGCTAATTTTATTTTATTTATTTATTTATTTATTTTTAGACTTTTACAAAACAAAGAAAAGAATCCCAAAATAGCACCCATCCTTAGTAGAAGAGATGTTAACTTTTGAAAGAAAAACTTTTCAAAGTGTGTCAGATAACATGTTTAGTCTATTGTTTCATTTGAGTGCGAAGGAAAGATTTTTATTTGTTTCTTAAGAAATGAATTGTAATGATGGTCACCCATTTGTGTAGAAAAGTTGTTGCGCTTTGTGAGTTTTATTTGCCACTATGCAATTATAGTAATCTTATGGCAACTTGAGAATTGTACAAAAAGTTCTGCAAAGCTCATCATTTTCATTGAAATAGCAGTTTATAATTCTTGCTCTCTATTGTTGCTTTTCATGACATTTTTTTGCTTGTAGTGTTTGTTCAGCTAGCTCAGTAAGAGGTTTGTATACCTCTTTTAATTCTGTGATTAAAATCTTAGTGAACCACTCATGAACATCAATCCTTTCTTCTGCCTTTTAAATAGAGAAGTGACAAATGCTTCTTTTCACGAAGGAAGTAATCTTATTCACAACAATGTAAGATAAAGGTTGATTTGGTAGAACACATGCATCTTGAAATGTTAAAAGGCATATGTTGGTTTGCATTGACTTCAACTTGGGTGAATGGTGTAGGGGAGATAGGAAGTAGAGGTATTGGTTGTATTAGGCATTGGATAGAGTAAGTGCCTTATTGCTTTACCATCATTTTTCAAAACCTTGATGCTTTGAATAACATTTTTAAGTTGATCTACAGTGAGCTTTGAGATTCCCAAGTGCTTGCAAAGCTTCTAAACCTTACTTGCTGGCACTTTCAATTCAACCTCATTGGTGAGATGGTCATTTTGGTAGTGAACTCCCACGTAGGAAGAGAAAAGAACAAAGAAAACCAAAGACACTTGCTTCAACTTTTTTGCAATCTTGCTCTTCTTTGCCTTGCCTCAACCTTGGAATGATTTTATTTGGCTGTGACTGATAGGGGTTTATATAGAGCTTACAAGTGAACCCAGAATCGTGAATTAAGGAATGATTCGATTACGAGTTAATGCAATAATTAAATGACACAATGCTGGCATAAGTCTCTAAGCCAAAAAATCATAGCTAGCGAGAATCAAGATTGTATGGTCTTCCATATTTAACAGATTTGTTAGTGCCAATAATAATGATATATATATGTTTGTGATAGTAAAAATCAAAGAAAAAAACTGATTTATAATGATGTTTACTGACTTATCGATCTCTAAATAAAGGCCATTTTAAATTGATGATGCTTTGGAATAGGAGGTATTAGATGGACTTACGGTGTATACAAACACTTTCTCTTTTGGGGTGCATAAACATTCGCTTATATGATGTTTATTATGTTTTGTTATCGTTAAAATGATTATAGTTTTGATTATGATAACATGATCCTAATTTGCTTAAATATTATTTGAATGATTCTTGACAAGTTCTTGAAATGATTTAGCTCTTGTACATTTGTTCTTACATGATTACAAACTTGATTGTTTTAGTTGTGTGAATTCATGAAGTTATTAAACTTTCACATACTCACACTTTATGTCTATGAGCTTGAATGACTTAGTTGATTGGGTGCTTATAATTCCTCTAACATTCATTTCCATGAGATGTTAAAGATGTAAGACAGGTTCACAAGTGATAGAGCTTATCTCAAAAAACTCAAAGATCATCATTCTACACAACACCAAGGTTGTCTCAAGTTAAGAGGTTGATTTTTAAT